CCCTGCACCTCCGCCCGCACTGCACCCCTGCATCTCCGCCCGCACTGCACCCCTGCACCTCCGCCCGCACTGCACCCCTGCACCTCCGCCCCCACTGCACCCCTGCACCTCCGCCCCCACTGCACCCCTGCACCTCTGCCCCCACTGCACCCCTGCACCTCTGCCCCCACTGCACCCCTGCACCTCTGCCCCCCACTGCACCCCTGCACCTCCGTCCCCACTGCACCCCTGCACCTCTGCCCCCCACTGCACCCCTGCACCTCCGTCCCCACTGTCCCCCTGTACCTCCACCCCCACTGTACCCCTGCACCTCCGTCCCCAGTGAACCCCTGCACCTCCATCCCCACTGCACCCCTGCACCTCCGCCCTCACTGCACCCCCGCCCCCACTGCACCCCTGCACCTCTGCCCCCCACTGCACCCCTGCACCTCCGTCCCCAGTGAACCCCTGCACCTCCTCTCCCACTGCTCCCCTGCACCTCCGCCCCCACTGCACCCCTGCATCTCCGCCCCCCACTGCTCCCCTGCACCTCCGCCCCCACTGCACCCCTGCACCTCTGCCCCCCACTGCTCCCCTGCACCTCCGTCCCCACTGCTCCCCTGCACCTCCGCTCCCACTGTCCCCCTGCACCTCCACGCCGCACTGCTCCCACTGCACCCATCTGCACCAACCTCAACCCACCTGAACCCACCTGCACCCAACCGCACCTCTGTCCTTACCTGCACCTCCATCCCCACCCGTCCCCACCTGCACTCACCTGCATCCCCACCCAGCCCAAGGAGACTCCGTGTGCCTCCTCTGCCCCCTGGTGGCCGCCAGCGGTAACAACAGCCCTCTGCAAACCGAGCATCTGAAGCCCCAGGAACAGGCTCCCCCCGCTCCCCACATCCGTCTTTGCTGCTCTGGCTGTTGGTGTTTTGCCCTGGGGGACCACGGTGCTGGTTCTGTCACCAAGACAGGTGCCCACACCTTGATTTTAGCCCAGTGAGGCCTGTGTTAAACTTCCTTCTTTTTTTTTTTTTTTTTTTTTTCCAGAGGGAGTCTCCGACCCAGGCCCTGGGGGCTTAGAGGGCAGCGCCACCCGCCTACAGGCTGCCTGCCAGACAGCTGTTCGCACAGACCGTCATGGGATCCTTGTTGCCGGGACAGGTCATGGAGAACGATGACCCCATCACGGGCAGTCTTTCCAAAGGCGTCCACAGGAGACCAGAAATCACATTTCCTGCTGAGGACGGCCTATCCTAGCCTGCAAACACTGGTAGCTCCGCAGCGGCTAGCGTTTCCCTGTTGAAATGAATGGGGTCATGCGTTTCTGTTTTTTTTAGAGACAGGGTCTAGCTCTGCTGCCCAGGTTGGAGAAGCGATTCTCCTGCCTCAGCCTCTTAAGTAGCTGGGATTTCAGGTGTGCACCACCACGCCTGGCCAATTTTTGTATTTTTTGTAGAGATGGGGTTTCATCATGGATCCCGGACTGGTCTGGAACTCTTGGGCTCGAGCGATCCGCCCACTTCAGCCTCCCAAGTAGTAGGGACTGCAGGTGCGTGCCAACGTAGCTGGCTAATTTTCTGTAGAGAAGGGGGTATCGCTCTGTTGCCCAGGCTGATCTCAAACTCCTGGGCTCAAGTAATCCTCCTGCCTTGGCCTCCCAAAGTGCTGGGATTACAGGTGTGAGCGATGGCGCCTGCCCAGAGCTGAATGTTTGAAGAAGCCCAACACCAAACTTGTTGCGGCCCCAACAAGTGCTGGGAATACAACATCTGAGCCCTCTCCGGGCTCCGCACACCTTCCCACCCTGCACTGCCCGCGCCGGAATGCAACGTCTGAGCCCTCTCTGGGCTGTGCACACCTTCCCATCCTGCACCGCCTGCAACGGGAACGCATCTGAGCCCTCTCCGGGCTCCGCACACCTTCCCACCCTGCACCGCCAATGCAACGTCTGAGCCCTGTCCGGGCTCCGCACACCTTCCCACCCTGCACCACCCTGTGCCTCCTTTTTCGGGCTGAGCTTTTGTTTGTGTCACAACCTCACTGGGGTGTGAGTTACACACCCTGAGATGTACACAGGTCACGCTCCTCTTCAAGTGTACATGGTTCTAAGAGTTGCCATTCATTTCTACAGCTGTGCAACCATCAGCATAATCCCAGAGGGACACTGTCATCCGCCCCCACTGCTGCCCTGATCCCACTCCTCGGCCTCCAGGCAACCTCTGATCTCTCACCTTTTCTAGAATTTTCCTGTAAGTGGAATTGTACAACAGGAAATCTTTTATATTTCTATCTTTGGCTTCATAAAGAAAGAAATATTATGTATATGGGGGAAGTAATTAAGTTCCTCTTTAAAGTTTCCTTTCTTGTTGAAGAATAAATCAGAAGTGTGCCAATAACTTTGATAAGCCCTGTCCTACGTAGCTGTTAGACACGCCACGCTTACAGGCAAGGAGTACACTCTATGTCCCTGTACTTGAACCAGGGTATCTGTGCTGGACGTGCTCACAGGCATGTCCCAGCTCTCCATGGCTTTTACCTGTTTAAAAAAGTTTTAAGTTGTCAGCCAATCTGGTTTTAGTTTAGATTGTGAGGTCTGGCTCCAGTCAACGGAGATCACACACAGCAGTGAGGACAACCCCAAATGTGTAAGGGAGAAATCTGTCTGCTTTTTCTTTGTGCATTGGATTCTCGTGGCAACATGGCTAATGAGGGTCCCCTTCCTGCAGTCCAGGAAGTAAACATTGCATTGCTGAAAGATCCTTTGTGGCACTGAGCATCTGTTTCCAACTGTATATATATATTTGAAATGTATATATGTATCAGAAGTCACTATACATATACACACATATACATATTTGTATCTACACTGATTTTATTATTTCTGAGATGGAGCCTCAGTCTATCACCCAGGCTGGAGTGCAGTGGCATGATTTCAGCTCACTGCAACCTCCACCTTCCAAGTTCAAGCCATTCTCCCCATTCAGTCCCCCGAGTAGCTGGGATTACAGGTGCCCTCCACAACGCCTGGCTCCTTTCTGTATTTTTAGTAGAGATGGAGTTTCACCGTGTTGACCAGGCTGGTCTCGAACTCTTGACCTCAAGTGATCCGCCTGCTGTGGCTTCCCAAAGTGCCTGGATAACAAGTGTGAGCCACTGCGCCCAGCCTACACTTTACATCTATATCAAACAGCTCTCTCTCTACATACATGCATCATGTTACTGAAATCTAATTCCTATGACATACAGTGCGCCATTTAAAATGCACAATTCTTTCTCGGTATTCTCTGTGGGACCAAAAAGAAGAAACGCATCATCAAATAAAAACAAAATGTGTAATTCAGTGGCATTCACAGAGTCCTGTGACCATCTCATTATCTAATTCCAGAACCTTCTAATACACCAAGAAGAAACTCATCGACCATCACTTCCCATACCCCTCCCAGTCCCGGCACCCACGCCTCCCCTCCCTGACTCTGCGGACGGGCCTGTCCTGAACGTTTCATAGAAACGGGATCACACACCGTGTGGCCTTTTGTGTCTGGTGCCTCTTACTGAGCGTGACGTCCTCCAGCTGCCGTGGATACACCGTGGCCTGAGTCAAAGCCTCACTCCTTTTCATGGCTGAGTAATACTCCACAGCATGGAGGGATGACATTCTGTCCGTCCGTTCGTCCACTCGTAGACATCTGGATTCTCTGCCTTGTTTCTACATTTGAACATCTTTATTTCGAGTACCTCTAATTTTTGAATGGCCTCTCATGACCAACTATGGATGAGAGCAAATAGGTTTCTACTGGGCTTGGCTGAAATACGCATTTTCTAGGCAGACGTTACGTGCCATAAAATTCAAGGGAAGTATACTGCTCAAAGATACTTCAGGGCCAGGGCCAGGGGCCGAGGCTCACCCCTGTAATCCCGGCACTTTGGGAGGCCGAGGTGCCTGGGCAGGAAAACAAACCCTCACTCTTTTCTCTCTTTCTCTCTCTCTCCTTCCTTCCTTCCTTCCTTCCTCTCTTTTTCTCCCTCCCTCCCTCCCTCCATTCCTTTCGAGACGGAGTCTTGCTCTGTCACCAGGCTGGAGTGCAGTGGCACAATCTCAGCTCACTGCAACCTCCTCCTCCCAAGCTCAAGTGATCCTCTTGCCTCAGCCTCCTGAGTAGCTGAGATTACAGGTGCCCATCACCACGCCCAGCTAATTTTTATATTTTTTAGTAGAGACAGAGTTTCACCATGTTGGCCAGGCTGGTCTTAAACTCCTGACCTTAGGTGATCCACCCTCCTCGGCCTCCCAAAGTGCTGGGATGACAGATGTGAGCCACCGCACCCAGCCAAGACCCTAACTCTTAAAAATAAAACATTTTTAAAGAGATTTTTTAGTAAGTTCACCAGGTTTGCAGACACCCCCACCCGACCATTGGGTCCGTTTCCATGTCCCCGGCCAGGTTTCCAGCCTCCGGCCACTGCGAGGCCCTTTCTGTCCCTGTGCCTTTGCCTTTTCTGGAAATTTCTGCCTTCTTTTTGACTTATTTTTAAATGATTTCGTCTTCCTACATTTTAAAAGCCACTCACGATTCTTTAGGGAGAAAAACGAGGTATAAACCTAGAGAGGAGACCCAAAGGGCCAGTGACGGGTCACCCTCCAGGTGCGCAGGAGACAGGGGCGAAGGCTGAAGCACCTTCCTGAACACTCCCTATCACGGCGCCAGGACACAGGGAAGGCAGGCAGCACCCCTGTGGGCTTCCCACGCTGACCCCGTCCGGGACTCTCCCACCAGTAGGAGCTGCAGGCGCCACGTCCCCTGCCTCATGGATGGGAAACTCCCAGGAGCCAGCGGCTGCTCCCCGAACGCGCTCCCCATCACCCACACTTGGTGGATACAAAAAGCCCACAGACCCAAAGCCACAGGTCAAGGCCAAGATGCCCCCGACGGCAACCCCACATCTTACATCCAAGGTTCAAAACAGCCAAAGGAGCCTCAAACCAGAACAAAGAAATGCATCACAGCACCAACCTGTATGGAAGGTCCCGCCGTCCGCAGCACCGAGATTCTGGAACCGAGCTCCGCTCCCTGGAAAAGAAACAGAGCATTAAGTCGCTTGGCCGGAGGTGTCATGGCAGCGGCGATGGGGTCAGCACTGGAGAATGGCCTGGCGCTCATGATTGGACAAGGACAGAAATCACACTGGCAACCGGACTGTGATGGCTCACGCCTGTGATCCCAGCATTTTGGGAGGCTGAGGAGGGTAGATCACCTGAGGTCAGGAGTTTGAGACCAGCCTGGCCAACATGGTGAAACTCCACCTCTACTAAAAATGCAAAAATTAGCTGAGCATGTTGGCAGGTGCCTGTAATCCCAGCTACTCTGGAGGCTGAGGCAGGAGAATCATTTGAACCCGGGAGGTGGAGGTTGCAGGGAGCTGAGATTGTGCCACTGCCCTCCAGCCTGGGTGACAGAATGAGACTCCATCTCAAAAAAATAAAAAAATTAAAAAGCCATGTGGGGTCCAGGATGTCTACGGAAGAAAAAGGACATTAGGTGAAAAAATAAGGCCGGGTGCAGTGGCTCAAGCCTGTAATCCCAGCACTTTGGGAGGCCGAGGCGGGTGGATCACAAGGTCGAGAGATCGAGACCATCCTGGTCAACATGGTGAAACCCCGTCTCTAATAAAAATACAAAAAACTAGCTGGGCATGGTGGCGTGTGCCTGTAATCCCAGCTACTCAGGAGGCTGAGGCAGGAGAATTGCTTGAACCCAGGAGGCAGAGGTTGCGGTGAGCCGAGATCGCGCCATTGCACTCCAGCCTGGGTAACAAGAGCAAAACTCCGTCTCAAAAAAAAAAAAAAAAAAGAAAAAAAAGAAAAAATAGTGAAACTGTGATAAAGAGTGAAATCTAGCAGAAAAGTACCCGCATGGGCTTCTTGTTAGTTACAAGTGCATGGTCCAGCCTGGGCAACATCACAAGACCCCAACTCTACAAAAACAATGTAAAAAATAGCTGGGTGTGGTGGTACACACCTGTAGTCACAGCTACTTGGGAGGCTGGGGCAGGAGGATGGCTTAAGCCCCGGAGGTTGAGGCTGCAGTGATCTGTGATTGTGCCACTGTACTCCAGCCTGGGCAACAGAGCAGGACACTGTCTCAAAAACCAACCAACCCTGGCCGGCCGCAGTGGCTCACACAAGTAATCCCAGCACTATGGGAGGCCGAGGCAGGTGGGTCACCTGAGGTCGGGAGTTTGAGACCAGCCGGACCAACATGGAGAAACCCCGTCTCTCTCTGCAAACCTACAAAATCAGCCGGGCGTGGTGGCATGCGCCTGTAATCCCAGCTCCTTGGGAGGCTAAGGCAGGAGAATCGCTTGAACCCGGGAGGCGGAGGTTGCAGTGAGCCGAGACTGCGCCATTGCACCACAGCCTGAGCAACAAGAGTGAAATTCTGTCTCAAAGACAAAAAACAAAACAAAAAATCAAAATGAAACCAACCCAAATGATTTCCTAAGATGCTAACATAAGGGGGAACTGGTGAGAGGCAGAGACAGAAAACCTCTGGATTTCTCTGTGACGCTTCTGAAAATCTAAAATTATTCCAAAGGTAAATGTCCATTCAAAAAAAAAAAAAAAAAGTTTTAAAATGCTAGTTTCTGTTCTATGTGCTCAGGGTAATTTACCATCGATAAAAGGTGGGGGTGAGAGCTGCAATCCCTGCTGTGGCCTGCAGGTGGTGCCACTGCCACAGGAATGCCCTGGCACCTTTGGGTTCTGGGAGCAGCTGGCATCTTGCAGGATCTGCTACACCTGGGCCTGTCACTCAGGACAGCCGCTGCTCAGGGCAGCAGCGGTGAGTGATGAAAGGGCTGGAGCAGCATGCCCACGGGGCCATAGGACGCCCAGACGCCTCTCCTCCGGCTTGCAAGGCATCTATGCACATAATCTTTCAACTTTGAATCATGTTTTTCTGTTTGTTTCTTTTTGGGACAGGGTCTTACTCTCTCCCAGGCTGGAGTGCAGTGGTGCAATCACAGCTCACTGCAGCCTCGACCTCCTGGGCTCAAGCGATCTTTCTCAGCCTCCTGAGGAGCTGGGGCTACAGGCAAGTGTCACTGCTGTAGTTTTTACGGACTGGGAAGGGGAAGGAATATGTTTAGTTTGTGGGCTAATGTTTAATTTCTCTCTTTCTTTCTTTGTTTTTTACAGAGACAGGGTCTTGCTATGCCCAGGCTGGTCTTGAACTCCTGGATTCAAGTAATCTTCCCGTCTACCTTGTCCTCTAGAAGGGCTGGGATGACAGATGCAGCTGTTGCACCCGGACGAGCTTAAATTATTTAATGAATCTGAAGCAGTCCTGTGACCCCTCAACCCACAACCCTGCCAGCGACACTGCACACAACTAGGGCACATCTTATCAAAACCACGGAACTAAGAGAGGCGGATCCTTCAGGCCAGATGCTCACCCCTAGGAATCATTGTTTTTAAATAGCCTTGTTGAGAAATAACGCCCATACCATACAACTCGCCCACTTACAAAAGTTTATAATTCAGTGTTTTCAGTACATTTGCAAAACTGGGTAACCATCACCTCTATGTAGTTCCAGAACATTCTCATCACCCTACAAAGAAGCCTCCTTCCATCAGCCCCAGACCCCCGGCCCCAGCACCCACACATCCCCTTCCTGTCTCTGTGGCTGGGCCTGTCCTGGACATTTTCAGAAACGGGATCGCACACCGTGTGGCCTTTTGTGTTTGGCGTCTCTCCCTGAGCATGATGTCCTCAAGGTTCATCTCGGCTGGGACCTGGGTCAGAGCCTCGCTATTTCCACGGCTGAGTCTTACTCCTCAGTATGGAAGGACGTGTGTTTTGTTTTGTTTTCAGAGACAGAGTTTCACTATTGTCGCCCAGGCTGGAGTGCAATAGCACAATCTCGGCTCACCGCAACCTTCACCTCCCGGTTCAAGCAATTCTCCTGCCTCAGCCTCCAGAGTGGCTGAGATTACAGGCGCCCACCACCACACTCGGCTAACTTTTTCATATTTTTAGTAGAGACAGGGTTTCACCATGTTGGTCAGGCTGGTCTCGAACTCCCCACCTCAGGTGATTCACCTGCCTCAGCCTCCCAAAGAGTTTGAATTACGGGTGAGTGTGAGCCATCCAGTCTAGGATCGTTTTTTTTTTTTTTTTTTTAAAGATGGGGTTTCACCGTGATGGCCAGGCTGGTCTTGAACTCCTGACCTCAGGTGATCCACCCACCTTGGTCTCCCAAAGAGCTAGGATTACAGGCGTGAGCCACCACGCCCGGCCGATGTTTTTTAAATCCATTCACTCAAGGATGGGCAATCGGCTTGTTCCTACTTTTTGGCAACTGCAAATTTGCTGCTGTGAATATCTGTGTCATAGCAATCTTTTTGTTTTGTTTTGTTTGAGATAGAGTCTCGTTCTATTCCCCAGGCTGGAGTGCAGCGGTGTGATCTCAGCTCACAGTAACCTCCGCCTCCCGAGTTCAAGCGATCCTCCTGCCTCAGCCTCCCAAGTAGCTGGGACTACAGGCACCCACCACCAAGCCTGGCTAATTTTTTTTGTATTTTTAGTAGAGGTGAGATTTCACCATGTTGGCTAGGCTGGTCTCGAACTCCGGACCTCAGGTGATTCACCCGCCTCGGCCTCCCAAAGCGCTGGGATTACCTGCGTGAGCCACCGTGCCCAGCCCTAGAAATCATGTTTTGTTGTTTGTCTGTTTGTTTATTTGTTTGTTTTTGAGATGGAGTCTCACTCTGTCACCCAGGCTGGAGTGCAGTGGTGTGATCTCGGCTCACGGTAACCTGTGTCTCCTGGATTCAAGCAATTCTCCCCTCAGCCTCCTGAGTAGCTGGGATTACAGGTGCCCGCCACCATGCCCAGCTAATTTTTGCATTTTTAGTAGAGACAGGGTTTTGCCACATTGGCCAGGCTGGTCTCGAACTCCTGACCTCATGACCCGGCCCCCTTGGCCTCGCAAAGTGCTGGGATTACAACACAGCCCTAGGACTCATGTTTAAGATGGTTTCTCACTCTCTGCCTTCACTGCAAACGTCCCCGTTCCCAGCCCTTCAACCCCAGCCCACAGGTGTTCTCAAGACCTTGGACCCGGCAGTGAGGTGACAGCTGCGGACCCCCTGGTCTGCACTCGACCCGGAGCGGCTGGGTTCAGAGGGGAGCACAGCGTGGGTGAAGCCGCACCCCAGCCGCCGTGTCCTCGGGCCGCGAGCTGTGCCAGCTGGCGCCAGGCTGTCCCCCAGAGACCTTCAGAGGCTCAATCACCCCGACAGAAACACTGGGCTTTGTGTTCCCCAAGTGGACAAATCACAAGCGACCCAGGCAGCCTGTGGTGGAGCCAAGGAGGACAGAGACCTCTCCTCGGGGGTCAGGGCCCCTCAGAAACTGCTGAGCCACGGGCAACACCAATCCCAACCGTGGGGACCTCCTGCTCGTGAATGAGTATGGATTTCAAGGCGTCCAGAGCCTGGCTTTCGACCCAGCTCAGGGCCGGGGCGCCTGTGTGCGGCTGGCCCTGCCATCAGTAGCAGGCGAGTCTCAGACACGGGCAAGAGACACTCCAGGTGGCAGGTGCCAGGGCCAGCAGGGAGAGACCAGTCCCCCCGGACATGGACCGGGGTGGCGGTCAGGGGGCCGTGGAGGAAGGGCTGCCCCTGACTCTCAGCCCTCCTCACCATATCCTGGAGGCGCTTCTCCAGCTCTCCAACCCCGCTGATTCGACAGCTTCAATTTCTTCCCTCCCTCCCTCCCTCCTTCCTCCCTCCTTCCCTTTCTCTTCTCTTTTTCAATTTCTTTCCTCCCTCCCTCCCTCCCTCTCTCTTTCCTTCCTTCTCTCTCTCTCGCTCTTTCTTTCTTTTTTTAAAGATGGAGTTTCACCACGATGGCCAGGCTGTTCTTGAACTCCTGACCTCAGGGGATCCACCCGCCTCGGCCTCCCAAAGCGCTGGGATTACAGGCGTGCGCCACGGCGCCCGGCCTTTTTCTTTCTTTCTTTTACTCTCTCCTTTTTTCTTTCCTTTTCCCTTCTCTTTATTTCTTCT